ACCAATTTTAGCTGAAAGCCAAGTTTCGGTTAACGCCACAATATCAGCATCACAGGAGTCAATAACCAAGCTCAGATCGTCACGATTACGAATTAAGCTTCTGATATTAGTAAGAAGAACAGAAAGATTTGAGCCAAGGTTTCGAGACCCATCTCCCCTCGGGGAATGTTATGGGATTGGCTGTGCCGTTCCCGAACTGTTCAGCGTTTGAGCTCGGTTAGGAGCGCGATGAACAGTTTTAACAGGCAATTCATAAACGCAATCATTAACCGAATTGTAGCAAAAACATTTACCGTTCACAAAAAGCTTATTATAGCGCAGTTTAAAAACCGCACCCTGGCGTTTACCGTATTCCAGCAATTGCCTTCTAGCCAAGCGAGTCTCGGGGCAAAAATCTTCGGCGATCGAAAAATGCGCGTTTTTGAGACCTGAACGACAGGAGAGAACTTGTTCTTTAATCTTGAAGGATTCAAATTTTACTATTAAAGGACGACATTTACCATCAACAAAAGGGCCTAACCTGTGGGCACGAGCTATCTGCTCATGCGATATGTTAACATTCAAGTGAGTTGATAAAAGAGACAATACTTTTTCTTCGGCCTGCGTCCATGACTCGTTAGCTGCGTCATCGACACCATGAAAAAGCAGGTTGTCTCTACGTGACCGGTCTTCCAAATCATTTAGCCTATAATTAAATTGTAGGCTATCTTTTTCAATCCGCTCAAATGTCTGATGCGCCCCGACAAGTTCGCGATGCATATCATCGAAGATAGCAGTTCTCGATTCTAAGACCGTCACTCTTTGAATGAGATTAGTGACGGAAAGCTGAAGGGACTCGTGGTTTGCTTTTAAATCGTTAATGGAAGACAGGACAGCATTTTGGCCTTCTTCAAACTTTAGAGAACGAGCGTTAAGATCGTGCAAAAGACGAAGCATTTCACTGAACTGCTTAGCCTGCTGGTCACTCATGGGACCAGGGTTCTGCTCAACGTCACCGCACAGGTGGGTGGTGTTGATTGGGTTCGAGTAGTAGAGATGTTATAGTGCAACCGAACGCCGATGGAAGTTTCTATAGCCCTCCAACATTACGCGCAGCAACTGGATACTAAAAAAAGTGGGATTTCAGTAATGTTTGAAAACACCCGTTTTGAAGTTATCTTTAGCAGACAACGGTGGGGAAGACGCTCCGCTGACGCTTTCTCGTCGTCGCGCCGTTATTGGCGAGTCGTCGGGACTCTCATCTCTTTCCTCTTCGCGCGACGCGGGATAAGAGAACACCCGACTTCTCTATCCTGGCGCCATTAGGGGAGAGAAGGGTTGTTTCCGTTTTCACTGCGACGACAGACAACACAATCCGACAGAGAAATCTCTGCCAAGTATAACCGGTAAAAGTAAAAAAAAAAATGTCGCGCGATTATTTTTTTTTATAAAAAGAAACAGTCTGTACGTAAAGAGCATTAAAGCAACGAGTTAAATTTACTTCTAAAAATTGTCTATCCTTAACAATCAAGCAATTTTAACGCGCATCTCTATCTTTAAACCTTCATGGGGTTTAAAGGTGTTGAGGATTAGACATCGCGGGTTTACAGTAGTATTGGTTACATTACGTTTTGTACCGATGGCACAACTTTGTAGCTCAGATTAGTTAACTTTTAAGGTATGAAACGTGGAACGGCTGTGTAAATATTTTAGCATTCTACCGGATTTATTTTTAGAAGAGCATTGTTTGTTCACAGGCCGCACCTATCCGTAGCAAATAAAAAGACATATCAAATAAAAAAAATAAATAAACAGTGGAGAAATTGGTGTAACCTTCCAGCTTGTCGCGTCCGCTTTTTTTTTTTTTTTTCTTTTCAAATGGAGATTGAAAATTGGGAATTTATTGTTTACATAATTTATCAAAACTTGGCGATTGTCCAAGATTACTAGCCGAAAGAAATGGCGCACGTCTTTGACTATAGTTTGTGTTTTGGTTAGCGCAAGATGGTTTATTTGTGTGATGAAGAATCAATCGGGGCGAAAAACAGATTGAGCTACCTACTTAGTTCTTTCTTGCATATTGTTGATGCTGCGCACTTCAGAAATAATAACAGCGAAAGGTCAGTTGCTCTTTCTCAAGCTCGTAGCTCCCAATGATTCAAGGAGTTCAACACGAATAATTTCTGCTCCGCTATGTGTTACACCAGTAACACGTAAAAAAAAAAGATGCAAATTAGACGTTAGATGTTTAGACAGCAGAAGCTAGGTCTGCCCTAGCGTGGCGGCGTTTACACTGTAAATGATTAATCGATTCAGTGCAGTACGACTGAGGTATCTTCAATGTGAATCACGCAGTAGTAATGCACGACCGCGCTCATGTGCGATGCTAATTCATATCGAAACTGGCGGGGGTGGGGAGTCATTTCGGAATCTCTCGGTTCTGCATTGGGAGTTTCCGCCTCCCGTGCTCCAAGCTGCGATACGCTAACACACTCCGCTATCGATCATTGATTGTGTGTACTATCGACGGATCATTGAGTAGCATTGTAAAAAAAATGCGAATTGCAGACTTTTAAGCCAGCCTTACAGTATGGTATAGTAGCAGAAACGTGATTTCTTAATTTTCATTATAATGAACTGTTGAGAAGGCGTGTTTCGCTACAGGGTTTATCGCACGAACCAAATAATAACACCATCTACTCCCTTTTTGTCGCATTAGCGTACGACTACTTGCTTCTATCACAGAGCTAAATATGGTTGTAAAATTCGATGGCTTAATTCTGTCGAGACTTACCCCCAGCCACGATCATAAAAGTTTTCTGCGTGATTTACATTTACATCGGACTCTGCCGACTTTTTCTGCGCTAACAGATTCCGTGACCCTTTCCATATACAAACGGCCCACGGGAATCGGTACACGCGAAACATCATCAGTGCATCCTCTGTAGTGGATTGCGGGCACGGCGTAACTGCTGTTCGGATAACGATTTTTCAAGTGGTTCCATCGGTCGATGTAAGATCGATGAACTACGCGATATTTAGAACTGCCCTACTATGGTGCCTGGAACCCCTCCACGACTGGTGTGCTTACCCCGCCCTAAAAAGTGGTAACTCGATTTCCTCCTGATGACGTCATAGAAAAGTGTCATTTTGTCGCTGGCCACGATCTCGGCGGTAATGGACGTGGCAGATGCGTGTTTTGCTGCAGATCGCCCTCCAGTATAAACAATCCACGGAAGCTTCGGCAGATAGGAGTTGAGACTCCGCGACGACAGCGACACTCCCGTTCGCTCGTACTTTTCGCCGAGAGTTCTGGCACCAACCGCCAGGATCGCGACATATGACGTCGTGACAAGTCGGATTCTATGACGTCATTTGTTTCCACTTCGGGGCAACTTTTGATGTATGGGTGACAGAAGACGCGTTCAAGGTTACGTAGTCCTACTGATTCAGATGGAAGTCCCAGGATGTTTGATCGATTATTGAGGGCCTGGTTCGAAAAACACGATTCCGTTACTTGCTCGCGTGATGGTTTGGTCGACCAGTTGGCATGGTAATTGCGGCGACTCGTTATTTAGTAACTTTCGCCGTGTTAATAAATGAAGTATTTGCTTGAAAGCGCAAATCATTTGTGTTACAAGACGCTCCTTATTTATAGTGTATTTTCTTAGTAAGACCAAAGTCAACAATGAAAAAAAGATAAAGAAATTCGGATTAGGGGGTTTAGCTCTGAGGCTAAGTTGGGCACCTGAAGGCCACTAGAAAAGAAGTAAAATTGTTTTATTAGATAACTAATTAACTAGAAAGGATTAATCATCCCCATAGATCAGGGGTGGCCAAGCTGCACGCCGCATGCGGCTCTTCGCGTGTTAAAGTGCGGCTCGCGGCTCCCTCTCCTACCCCCGCTCTCCCCCCCCCCCCCCCTTCCCCCCCCCCCCCCCCCCCCGGCCATCCTTCCGTTCACATGAGCACTTCCCCAAAAAGAGAAATGGAACGCGTTTTAAATTGCAAAATTGCAAGTCAGGTTGCGGTTTTGGTGGTCTTGTTCTACTGCTACCTTGCGTACAGATGGACTGCTTTTGACTCGGATAGATTAAAAGTAGTTCGAGTTTCGTTTATTGCTCTAGACAAAAGTTTGCTCCCCCCCCCCCCCCCCCCCCCCCCCTTCCCCCCCCCGCGGCTCTTGGAAGTTCCGTGGTGTTTTTTGCGGCTCTTAGGCCGGGTCCGCCTGGCCACCCCTGCCATAGATTATAATTTATAAGTTTTGGGACTATAGGCTAATTTGGACGGATAATTGACGTTCGACCTCATATAGTCAAGCCGTGAAGTGAAATCTTGATCACAAAATTCGTAGTAGGGCACTACAGGGCAAGGAATGTCATTCTTGTAGGCGGCTTCAAACTGAAACTAACCCAAAACTAACCCTGGCGTCCGTGCCGTAGGCCACGTGGTCAGTGCTCTCAATTCGTTTAGCCATAATCTCCTATATAAGAAAGTCTAGCTGCGCCTTCGATGCCAGAAACGGCTGCCAAAACTGATAGAGGCAGAACGACAGAACATGACAGAAACATGATAGAACCTCAGAGATCCGCGAACACTTTCTGAAACTCTCCAGTTCTTTTTTTCTTTCTTTCCTTTTTCTTGAGAAAAAGTAGGCACGTTTTGTTTTCTTCTGACACTCATTCACGTTTACGACGCAGCTGCTTTTCCCAGTTTTTTAGAGCAAACTCACGCTCTCACTAGGAAAAAAAAAAAAAAAAAAAAGTAGGCAGACGGTAGTGTTTTTTTTTTTTCGTTTCTTCCAAAAATTACGAAAAGAGGAGTAGGTCGCCTCACGACACCTATGTGGCGCTACCTTCAAGCTGATTTTCTTCTTGCCTGCCGCTGCTCTTCCCTATTTTACCACAACCTGACTGTCTATTCTTCTGACACCGAAAACGCAGACTGTCCGCCTATATAGAAGGCTTTAGTTTAGCGAAGCAAAGGGGTTCGGCCACCCCCCGCGAAGAGTGAATCCTGACCCAGTGACGTCGATGAGAATCTTGCCGTCGTGCGTGTCCCAGGCGCCCCTCATGAGGATGGCCCACTGGATGGTGAGGGCTGCGATGAGCAGCGTGAAGCCCACGGCGCTGAAGCTGTACCGCTTCAGGAACGTCATCAGAAACCCGAAGCCCACGAACACCATCACGTTCACATCCTGGAACACTGGAACAAACGGACAGAAAACAAAAATAAAAGAACACGAACAAACGGGGTTAATAAATCTCCAGCTTTTTGTCACCGTGCGCGCAGTGGCAGCGATAGCTGTGATTTGCGCGTGGCAACACCCACTTTTATGCATGTGCACTCTTTGTTTACTCCATCGATATAACGCAGCCTTGTGGTTATCGAAGTATGTAGGAAAAGAAACACACTGTACGCTTGAGTCAACGCTTCTTCGTAAGGTTAAGTCGGGTCAGGAACTGCCCAGGTGTTTCTTTAACCATCGATGTTAGCGGGATGTTTTGGATCAGTCTGAAGCAGACCCCGGCCCCGCCACCTAGCCTTCTCTCGGCCGAACGATGAGCTACTTTGGTTGGATGTGATCAAAGGATTTGATGATCTACTGAGCTTTCTGCCTGACTCAACGCGGCCGCGATTACAATGAGAAGGTACCTATAACACCAATCGCTGTAAAAAACAACAACACTGCACTACGCACGAGATTTTGCGTGTAAACTCCACTCACAGATTCCAATATGAGGCAGTGCTCGTGAATCGGCAAACTTAGATCAACGAGGCTTTCATAATTTTTAATGACGACTAGTAAATGAGGTTTACGGTAAATGTAATAGCCTCATGTTTTTCGTTATGCAAACCATAGACGTTGACATATCGGGGAAAAATCACTATGCAGCGAAAATACACTAAACCTTTTTGCCGTTTATCTTAGTCTTATTATCCATTCTCAATTCAGCACTTGGGTACTACAGAGTTGCTATGAATGTCGGAACTAAGCAAATTAATGGTGCTTTTCAGAGAAAATGAGGCCATGAAGCACCAAGCTTCAAAATAAGGAAATGTCAAATATTTTGTGGTCTGTACCACTGCGCTTGCTCACTTGGGTTTGTAAGCCTCTGTATGCGGTTTAGCCGATTTCTTTACCATTTTAAATGATACGATGGAGCGTACGGAAAGCTGCTATGGAGTGCGCGGCGAGTGCACGGCGAAATATACTGCGAGCAGCAGGCACAAATCTGAAAATTCGAAAAAAAAAAGAAAAACGCGATTGACGTTTTTGTTGTCTAGGTTTTCGCATCGCCAGCCTCGTGCCTGCTGCACAAGCGGTAACTTTAGCGCACCCCGAGGCTTCACGCGCGCCAGAAGTCTTCCTAAATTTGACTTATTTAAGGGTCATTCCATCTCAAAGGTCCCAGATTTAACGCTCGACCATTTCAGATAAAAAAAAAAAAATCATGGGGAAAAAACAGCCACCCTAAGGTTTTTTTTTTCCAAAAATAATTTTACCAATTTTTCTAATCTTTATTTTTATGGCGTGAGCCTGGTTTCAATTTCTAAAATGAGCGTAAAACTAGGCATCAATCAATATTTGAGTAAATGTAAGGTTTTCTTCAAACGCTTCACAATTTGTTTTATGGAATTCGAACGGCTTTTAGCCAGCTATGTTGTGGTAATTATGATAGTTTTGTTGTAAAACTATTTTTTTTTAATATTCCACAAAATGCACGAATATTCTCACGTTTCAAAATATTTGTATTTAATTATTGCTTTGCGCCTGGAATTTATAACTTTTTTTGTTGAAAATCCTGTACATGTATTACAAATAAGAAAAATGTTTGAAGCTGCGCAACAAAATATTTCACAAACCAAAAATTCTGAAGTTGTAAAAAAGTCAGTTTTGCTGCCTAAACAGCCGTCTATTCTACCCTGAGCTGTTTCAAGTAAAAATACGAAATATAACGAATTTATAAGAAATGTGTATTGTATTTCATTTGTGAAAGTTTAATCAAAATGATTTTTGTCTAAATTGAGAAAAAAAAAAGTTGAAGTTAAGCTTCCGCGTCGCAACTTGGCATAGTTTCTCAGCGCCTCTGATACGAGAGCTGACACGAGAGCTGAGAAACTTTGAGCGCTCGCAAGGCAATTTCTGGTCGGGAATGTGATTTCCGTGGAGGGTTCTGCGCATGCGCATTCTTGACTCGCAATTGCCTCGCAGTCTGCAGTCACTGTTTACAGCTAAAGATGCGCCGCGGTCTGCCACGACCGCTCCCACTCGTCCGTCTTTTCGGCTGCAATGCTAACAACGGCGGTTATCGTGTGATAATTGTACGTGCCCCCATTGCATAGCAGGCTCGTTGCATCCTTTATACCCGATGTCAGTTCGCCTCACTCCGAAACTTGATACCTAATCGGCGTCGGGATCTCCTGACAGGGACTTCTCTTCAGGAAACGTGATGACGATAAAGCGAGATCCCTACTATTCTTCGTTTCACCTTACCAAGGGCGGCAGTGGACGCTACGAACAATCCCAGCCAATCCAGCGTTGTGCACGTATCACATCACCCGCTTCCCTCTCGAAGGTCCGTTCAATCCCCACCCTTGCCTGTTTCGATCTGGATGAGCATCGTACCGGAGTGCGGTCGTGTATCGCTACTGCGTGATGCACGTTAGAGACCTCAGGCTAGCGGCTGTACTGCACTGGCTAAATTGCTCATCTACAGCTGCGAGACAAGTCGTCCGTTGAGGAAGACTAAGTTCATGCTGTATAAACATACCGACAACCCAAATTTCTCGAATGTCACGACACTAACACGGCATTGGATTGGCTACAGTTCCGCGTAGCGTCCGCTGCGGTACACCGTAAGATGAAACGGTCTCGATGAAAGAAAAGGACTGACTGTAAGAAAGGGCAGAAAAACCGGCGATATTGTTTCGAATGACCTTACCACTGACTGCCGCGATCGGGAATCTGCCTAAGAAAGAAGTTTATTTTTCGTCAGGGTACGTTGCTATAACGATGGATGAAGTAGGTCATTCAGCACAGGCAAGTCATTCTGCGGTTCGGGCGGATGCTGATGAGTGCAAGTAGGACATTATCCTTCTTTAAATTTCTAAACTAGGGTGATGGTTGTCTCCTGTTCACTCATACTAATGTTTCACCGGATCTCTTCAGTTGCAACGATTACGGCATTTCCGCTAAGTGGAATTTTTTTTGCTACAACCCACGGGAAGAGTAGTTGTTACGGAGTAGGGAAACAGTGAAGCGTTTGGCAGCAAGGGCCTTTCTTCAAGGTCCCTTTTTAGAATCAAATTACGACGCTCTATCAGGTGTTCACCTGGGCTAAAAATAACATTGGAGGTTTTACAATTCCCTGGGTTCCAAAAGAAATGGTTGAAAAAAGACGAACCCGACTAAGTACATGATTCAGCTCAACGGTCCCCGCCAAATGGACACAGAGCTTTCATCACTTTAGGCCAGCATCACCTTCAACGCAACGTAATGGATTTACGTCCTATCACTAGACACATGAATTTGCAGTTTTAAAATAGATCTTAGGCTTCGTGTGCTAATTCAGAAATTTCACCAATCTCTCTGCTGTGATCTGTTCAACACCATATAGTTCAGGTCGTTTTCATATCGCCTACTCACGGGCGTGTATGCCGCTGCTTACCTGTGTCCTGACACTGAGAAGCGTGACAAATTGCGGTGGTGTGAAACAACTGACCTGCTGGGGGATATGCTGCTCCGGCAACGCTGAAAAATAACCAGCAGATACGACAAGCCATACTATAAATCACAAGAGGACTCCGGCGCTGGCGACGGTTGCAATTGCAGCGACTGGCAAGCCACGGGAGCACGGGAGAGGCCTTTGCCAATGAAATGCGAAAACACAACTTTTCTGCATCTACCTGCACTGGACAATCCGCTCAAGACAAACAATCCAGCGTTTCATCCGGCTACGATGTCGACAGTGGCGCACTGTGCGGTGAAGAGGAGCTAAGAAACCACGCTCTAAAAAAAGTCCGTGCGTTCACTTTCCCGCAGAACACTCGGAGAGCCAATCACCGCAACTTACGGAGGCAGCTCAGCGAATGACGATGCCGAAACATATGTTTAGACCAAAAAACGCAGTCTGAGTTGTGATATTAAGCATTGCAAAACGTCACGCTTGCATTGCTTAATGTCACAACACAGACCGCGTTTTTTGGTCTAAACATATGCTTCGGCATTGTCATTCGCTGAGCTGCCTCCCTAAGTTGCGGTGATTGGCTCTCCGAGTGTTGTGCGGGAAAGTAGTCGCACAGGCTTTTTTTAGAGTGTAGCCCGGGTTGCGACGTCCAACTTCAATATTTCTTATCTCTTTAGACAGGAATCGTGTTGATTAAAAGTTTACAAATAAAGGCAATAAACTCTTCTTATAAAGTCGTTATGTTTTGTAGTTTTATTTGGACCACCTCCGATGGTAGAATAACGGCTGGGCAGCAAAAATGACTTTTTCGCAACTTTAGATATTTTTTTCTGAGAAGTATTTGGTTCTACCATTGGCTTCCAACAGAAAAAAGTTATAATAGCCAGGCGCAAGACAATAACTATAAAATAAAAAATTTAAAAAAAGTAATAATATTTGTATATTTTTGTTAAATTAAAAAAATATCTTAACACTACAGATTGCATAATCATCAAAACATAGCAATACAAAATCCGTTTGAACATTATAAAACGAATTGTGAACCATTTGGAAGGAAATCTTATTTTTAATAAATGACAGATTGATGCTTAGTTTTATGCCCATTTTAAAAATTAGAGCCACACTCACGCCATAACGAAATGTTTTTCAGCGAAAATATTTTAGGAAAAGGTTAGCAGTATACTTTATGGCTTTTCATCTCCTCAAGTGAAAGCTACGTGCTTGTTAGACCAATTAATCGCCTACCTTATACACCAGATCCCGCTTTGGAGGTGAACATCTTGTCTTTCTTCTTCTTTTCCCCGGAGCCCACAGATTTCACTGTCATTTAAGCGAGAATGGAGGACTATGACATTCAATTTCGTTGCGTAAGCTCGCTTACACCATTGGCTGCTGGCTCATTGAAAGATCGTGCGCCATTTATTATAGACACTGAAATGTCTGGTTCAGCATCCCTTTAAGGACCTTGGAATAAAAAGCCATGATTTTTTTTTTTTTTTAATAAGAAATTGCCGA